ACGCAAGTATTCCCCAATCTCCATCGAAGAAATTTCACTGTTTTAAAATCAAACTCAAGTCAACTCGGAACAATTTTTATAAAATATAAAAAAAAAATATCAAAATAAGAGTTTCATATCTTTATTTTCGAAGTATGTATTTTTGCATTGTTGTAATGTGATTCTGTATATAGACATTTTATAATAATTTTTTGTAATGTATATGATCATAATTGATATTGTAAATGCATATTAAATTCCATGTCGAGAAAAAAAACATAAAACTTTTATTTTGATATATTTTTAATATTTTACTCTTTAATATTTTTCCCAATTTTCATTGGCCAAAGTGGATACATGATCAATTTGGGATTAGAGTGCTTAACCAATGGAATTGAATAGAAATGCCATATATATATATATATATATATATATATATATATATATATATATTCATATTTGTTTAATTTATCGAGTACAAATTTAAATCCAAATGCCAAAAAAATGAATGAGAAAATTTCACACTTCTTTCATCCGGAAATGTTTTTTCAATTATGCATTACAATGTTTTACCGATTTATTTTTAATTTAATTTATTTGATTATGTGTCTAAAATTTAAAAGTAAAGCTTACTCGGTATTTTTTTTTAAAATTATATTAAAATTTCTACAAAACAATAAGTGACTTGAATATATTATCTTATGGGTATAACTTACTACGTATAAAATAATAAAGTTATACCCGACTTGGAGACCCGAAAAGTGACCATTTGGGACATGACCGATCAAGAGCTAATAATGTTTGGGATGACATGGGAACAATTGGAAAAAGTGACCAGTCATATCATCTTTGGTACTAACCGACTAATCATATTTTTAGCATAATCATATTTGCATAGGTTACGCAGAAGACACAATCCATAACACAACTCTTCGGATGAGCCCTAATGGACCTTGATAGGCAAACTAGCAAGGATGACGCGGTGAGACAGCGTGCTCATTTTTTTTACTCCACTCACCATCTTCGGGAGGTAATTGTGCATCGAAGATTCCACTCCATTGTCCTGGTTTGATCACTTGATTGATGGCTATATTGATGCTCATTAATGACCAAATTAATGAGCGACGGGTCAAGAGGTTATTTGCAGGTATGACTATTGATTGGCTCTAGGCTTATGGATGAGTCGTGACTAGTTGCCTTATTTAGTATCCTCCACTCGATATAAATAGGTTGTAATTGACAGAGGAGATGACATGTAACACCCTAATCCGTCCAGATCTGCATCCCCTTTCGGACTAAAGTATTTAACTTGGTAATCGTAAAAATTTAAAACTTTTCAAACACACTTTATTAATCCCAATAATATTTTTCATAACATATACAGTACGGAGTATCAACATTATTGCGGAAGCGAATTTAATGTTGACATATTATAGATCATTTCAAACTTGTCACATCCATCCCGACAATCTCGCCCAATCTACCGCCAGGATCACATTGTTCTTTCGGTTTACCTGCGTGTAGCAAATAAAACACACTACACGCTCAACGGTAAAGCTGAGTAAGCATATCTAATACGTCGAACATCCATATAAACTGAATCTAAATTCATAATTAAATCATTTGATATCATGCACACAATGTTCATTTGAGACATTCAAAGTTCTGGTATTGTTCAGTTCATATGAATACATTTTATTCAATTCAGATACTATTTCAATATCTTAAATTATTCTTAATCTAAGGCCAGATTATAACAATGCTCTTAGCTATTCTTAGTCTAAGGCCAGATCATAATAATGCTCTTAGCTATTCTTAGTCTAAGGTTAGATCATAATTTTTATAACCAGATTCTTAAAAGGCAATCATTAATCAGACACTTAAACTATCATTAGTTTAAGCCAATTGATTTCGGACACTTAACTGTAGTCAGTTAAGGCAATCAGACACTTAAACTATCACTAGTTTAAAGCAAATGATTCGGACACTTAACTGTATTCAGTTAAGGCAACAAATATATAGCAATTGATCAACATTAGATCGGGCATTCCCAAACGAGTGATTCTCTAGTTTGGTCTATGAATCTCATTTATGCGTTTTTATCTAATTGATCAAATGTTCATGTTTTCATAAACCTGTTCTAATACAAGATCTATTCTAGAGGTCTTTTAGATATCGTTTAACAATACAAATCGTTTAATAATTATCAATATATTCATTACTCTCATGGCTGAATTATCAACAATCATTTTGATCAGTTAGTTCATTATTCATGATCATCCATAATAATCATTCATCATAATCATTAATCAACATAACAATTGATAACAAATAGCGGTCTAGTTTTGAGTGTTAACACTCTAACTTACCGTCATGCATCACATAATGTTTTATATGCCTAAAACATCATTTTTATTATACAAAATCATATTTGTATTGTTCATAATTAATTGTTATCAAAAATAGGATTTTAGAGCATATTTTTAGGAATATTTTCGTAGCAGGTTCTGGAATTGAGGAAAATAATTTAAAATAATCATTTAATTTATAAAAATTGATTTATATAATTTTAAATAATCCATTAATTCATAATAATCG